CTGTACATCACCAACGTAAGGCCAATTCTACAATATGCAGCCCCCCAATGTAGAGCCCGCATCTTAAAAAAAAAAACACATAAGAAAACTTGATAAAATATAGAGGAATGCAATGAGGTTTTCACCTCCAAGGACTCCTCCCTCCCAGAAAACATATGTTGTGGGGGAAACACCAGCGGCACCTGTCGCGAGGTTAGTGAACTAACACCCAGTATAAACACACGCAAAAATACTCCCTAAGGTTATTTAATTAACAAATGGCTGTGTTTACCTTGGATTCCATTGCACTCTTCGTGGTCCACTGAAGCTCTCTAACACCTCAGAGCTACGGATTTCCTCGATGTCACAGGGTTTAACCGTTGATATAACGGAGCTTAACCGTTGATGTAACGGGGCTTAAACGGTACTCATACGTATACGGCACTTACCCCATCAGGTAAATTCAGGTATAGCTGATGTTGAATGTTGGTGACTGATAAATTGTTCATCTTTTTTTCAAATCATTATTCAACACTATGTTAAATTAATACCCAATGTAACTTAATATAATATTTAACTAATCTCTTCAAAGGAAGCCTCATCCAGCGCCCCATATTATATATACTGTATATATATATATATATATATATATATATATATATATATATATATATATATATATATATATATATTTATATATTATATTGCAATGACCGTGTTTTTCGCTTCACACAAATTACCTCCCTTTCTCCTGTATATATATATATATATATATATATATATATATATATATATATATATATATATATATATATATATATATATTAAAGTATTTTATTGTTTACACTTTTGATGACGTGTTGATTTTCACAAACGCGTAAGCAAGAAACAAGTCAGCGTAAAAACAAGTCAGCGTAACTTAACAGAGGTACCATTCATGGTACCGTAGCATATTAACACGGTACTCGGATAAAGGTTTTTTTTTTTATTATTATTATTTTTCTACCGCAGACGTGGCCACATATTTACAATGCTAACCACCATATATACATTTTCTTCTGTCCTCCATGGACAGGGTGAGAGATTTGTCAAACGTACAGTTCAGGGATTTATTGAACAATCAACCACAGAAGGTGATTGTAGTGCTTTTAAAATGCTAGGCTAAGCTACATACGGGGCAAGGGAAATTGGGCCGTCTTGGTAGGGAGGAGGAGGAGGTATGGAGCAGTGGTACATCAGGTCGCCTAGTTTGGTTTTCTTTGATGGCTTAATGACCTTCCCGTACTTGGTCTGCTGAACTCTTAGGATAGGTCCTTCGGTCCTAACGGGTTCATCCGCTCCATCCATCTATTCTCTGGGTGGGGTCCTTAGTCGCTCCTAACCATCCACCCTTCAAGGTTAGAGACGCCTAGTCTCGCTCAACTTCTCATCATGACAGAAATAAAAGTGAACGCATGAATTGCGATGCGGACAGAAATGGTTGGGCACACATTTCTTTTCACCTAATGCCTCTGTTCACCTAGCAGTGAGTAGGTACTAATGGGAGTTAGTCAGCTTGTTGTGGGGGTTGCATTCTGGGCGGGGTCAGTAATTCGGTCTTGGAGAGGGGGAGGAGGGGGGGACCTCGATAAAAGCTAAATGTGTATGCATACATTCTGGCTTCCTGTCCCCCCGACACAATGAATTATTAGGAATTATATTTCGCCAGCTGATGAAAATCGTGTATTGTTGATGCGGGAATATATTGACATCATTGCTTAAAATATATTAATGACGTATTTATATTTTCAAACTTCCTCAGTGATAGTTTAATCTTGCTGTAAGATTATTTTTAGGGCATAAGGCTTGGCATAGTCACTTTTCAAGGGGGCATATGACAGTGTTAATGGTACAAGGAACGATTGATGAATGGAAAACATTATCTGGACACACACCGGTAAGCTAATTGGTTACAAAATAGAATACAGAGTCCTATTATATTTAGTGCAGCCCTGTCACACGACATCTGTTTGCAACTAGAGATAAAACTGCTTATCCTTTAGCCTAACTTGCCCTTAACATATTTGTTCGGACAAGCTGATATCTTACGGTAAACTGTTCTATCCTAGCCTAACCTAGGATAAACCAAGAGGTCTACCTTTCATTGGCTGTCAAAACAACTGTTCTCCTGTAATTGGGTTGTTCCTTTGCGTTCCGTATTGAGGACGAAATGCATTCTTTTCTGGAGGTAAATAGAGTTGAAAATAGAACATGGTTAGCGGTGTAGGAAGGCATTAATTATCGTAGTTTTCGTCATATTCAAGTATTTTCGCTATGTTTACCGTGGACTAGTAGTCAAAAAGCACCCGTAAGTGTATATTGTAACCACAATGAAAAAGGGAAACTAGAAATTTTAGTAGTTTCGTGTATTAATATACTGTATTATCCAAAAAACAACACATAACTGTATTCCTTGTTTCACTGACTGTACCTGCATCATCTCTGTATGTATGCGAGTATTACTGCATACATATACAGGTGTATATGCCATATACATATACATTATTGGCGGATATTCATAAAAAGAAACTGAAACTGATTTTGAAAGCACATACCGTCTTGTGGCTGGGAGCGTCCGCCTCATATATTGGTCCAAATATCATGCAGGTAAACATTATATCAGCACTATATACCTTCGACAAGCCGCTGGCTTCCAGTCCTCGTCGAGGCCCAGTACGAGGCTTAGTGGCTCTGGCTATATACGATGAGGGGGTACATTTTAATTTATGCACTCGTAAATAAACACAATCGCGAGATTTGCCTCAAATATGGCGTTACTCGAGCAAGCACTACGGATATAATTTTGTTTTATATATATAAAGTTTTTAATATTTTTGTAAGTTACATGCTTTGAAAACTGTCGTATTTACTAGTCACATCGCCATATGGTCTATATATTCATTTATATGACTAAGGTTAAATATTAAATACTATTTTCAACTTGATATGGTACGATGCTTAAACTTGTTCCTAATTTGTTTACTCCGGTAATGTTAGTTTAAATTATTATTAATCCCCCATACACCCATATGGGGTGTATCTATATACTAATTCGGTATTTTGTTTGTTAAGTCTACATATTGTTAGGTTAGGATGTATTAGGTTTGAAATCCGTTGACAAAGTCTCGTCTGTACGACTGGACATTCTATGGGGGACCTCTGCTAGTCTTATATTTCAACTATATGTATACCGACAGCACTAGTAGCTTGTTGATTGTGGCTATTCACACATCTTAGAAGTCCTTATAATGCTAGTGTCTATACCAGTTAAATAGACTAGTCCTGGCACCAGGCAATTCGTTTTAAATAATTAATTAAGCATCCTAGTATTTTTTCTTCAGTGAACAAGCCTTTACCATGAAGAGAAAACTGCCTGTGTCTCGTCATATTCTGTAATTAAAATAATTTGCCCGAAACGCTTTGCGTAATAGTGGCTTTAGGCATTGTATGTACTAGCTCTATCTATAAATCCATCAACTTTTGTATCTTACCTTGTATGTATGTACTTTACCTGAATAAAAATTTGTATTTTGTAATTTGTAATTTGAACTATAATGCGTACGACAAAGTTGAATCAATTTACTTCACTTAAATGTCACCAATTATAAATTTAATATCGAATATAAATATATTTTCTTAACCACGTCTTTAACGTGACTAAATATACTACAGTTACCCCTTGAAATTGTATCAAAAAGCGCTGTTTTCGAATGCATCGGTTCTCCTTTAAATAAGCAACGATGCAATACTATCAATACATCTGACTAGGAGTGTATTTTAACGGGATTTCAGTTTTTGCATCGGAGGGCAAATTTATTGCAGAGTATTTAGAATTAAAAGATACCTCCATAGAAGCAGGAAATACCATTATTAAGAAAACAGAACTTATTTTTTTCCGTGAATAATTTGTAAAGTCATTAGCGAAATTCTCATAATTTGCTATCGAGCTCTTAATTATATATTCAGTTAATAGCTGAACATTGAATTAGATCAAACATGGGTGTCCTCTCCTAGCCGGCCGCCCGGCCTTTGCTGCTCTGGGGATGGCAGACCAGACTGCGTGACCCTTCTCTTTGTTTTAACAAAGGAATGTACTACACGTTTCTGTATGCTCAGTTCTACTAAAATACCTTAATTTCAGGTAATTCCGCAACAGTTTTAACGTTAAGGCATTTGCAGGTTAATCCGTAAACTAGAATCAAGCCGAGAAAGCTATGTAGCACCATCAAATGTGCGGGATATTCAAAATGCGCATATCACTAAGGATGTAAATACAAGAACAAAAGCGCATAAAGCAAATATCAAAAGGTATCTTGGTTTACCAAGAATTCTATCGAGGAACAGTTGGGAAACAAGGCGCGCGTCCTGGAAGACAGGACATTCAACAGGAATATGCACGACCGTAAGGGGGTACAATAGTCTTGACAATGAGCAGGGCGGATCTTGTTCCAGTTAAATCGTGTATGGCAAATGTGTAACCTCGCTAGAGAAGTTTCCCCCCGCTGGATAAATTTCAGTTATATAGTGCAAATCGGTGGAAATGTGGCAAATGTGATGTAAAATATGATAGCAAAGTCTAAGCTTGGTTCAAGAAAGCCCGTTTTCTCTGAGTCACCAAACATCCTATTCTCCCCTGCATGCTGTGCTAGCCAGAGAATGACACGCAATTAGTTTTTAAACATACTAGTTGTGAAATTAAGCAATGAATATCCCCTAACACACGTATGCTAAAATTGCAGATACTCATTATGAAAACAGAGCATTGACAAAAAATAATTAAAGTCCAAAATTACTAAAACCATGCAAGCCTTGAACTCGCGTAGCATCCAGAACCTACCAGCTTGGAACAGAACCTAGTTTGCAGACAGGACAATAATATAATGAAGGTAGTATTTTGTCTTTTTATTATATTTAAATAAAAATACCATAGTAATAATGCCAGGTACTGCTTTCCACCCATTTGGTTGGTAAAGAAACTCAAGTTCATAAAACTATTTTCAGTTTTATTATAAACGTGGTGACAGATACGAGGGTGGGTCTCGTCTGGTTGGTGAGCACGACAGCCATAGCCAGTCGCACGCACCTTGCGGATGAGAACACAAAAATGAGACAGCACATATACAGACAACTTAAGCTTTATTAACTTTCACACAAAATGTAGACACTTGTCACTCCTATGAAATTAAAGAATGAAATTATCTTGTACTGCCCAAAAAACACATCAGTTTAGAAGAGATGCATTGTAGAAAAATAAAATAGGGAGCCCTGCTTGCTTTTGGTATCAATGGAAAATAGACACTACACGAGGTGTATTGGCGACTTTGTGATGGCATACCGCGCCCTGGTTACCTCCTGCTTCTCTGCTGCCTGGTCGCGCCGGGGTCCCACGACCCCACCACCCGCACGGGCGGAGGTCCTGTGGGCGGCAGGCGGGCGCGGGCGTCGCCGTGGCTAAGATGAGGACGCTTGAGCTCCGTAGAGCCGGGGGGGGCGAGGCGAGGGACGCTTCTATCATTCACACACACGCTCTACTCTCACACTGACTGTACAGGTACGTGAAATATAATACAATACAATAATAAAAACTGGAGCAGTCCATCGCCCACAACCCCCCGGCCTGGCATCCTCAGGTGGTCCCCGGCTTAGGGATGCATCGCCGGTGTTCTTCAGCAGCTGTCGTCTTACGCATCTTCTGCGTCTTCGTCCTCTTCATCTTCCTCGCCTTCACCTTCTTCCCCTTCTCCTTCCTCCTCTTCTGCCAAAGAAAATATAATTGAAAACACATGTCGACATAGCATCATGATGCAATCAAACGGCTATATATAAATGTCCGCTAAATAAAAGTGAGCATATTAGTCAACTTATGGCAACTCTTCAAGCGCCTCACCTTCTGCTTCTTCATCAAGCTCCTCCTCAGCATCACCAAGGTCCTCCTCCTCTTCTCCCTCCAAATCGTCCTCCTCCTCTTCTAGCTCTTCCTCGCCATTTTCCTCCCCCTTCAGCTTCTTCGGATCCTCTGTCTCCTCCTGCAAAAAAAGTCAAAGTTTAAACAAAAGACAATGGAAGAAAACTTTCACATTGACAAAATGGGAAAAAAATGAAATGATTGAACTAAAAATTACATACGCGAAACGTCCCCATACAACGGGAAGATATGAAAAGTAAATGTATAATAAATAAACTACTTCAATGCAGAGAAGTACCATACTTGCCCCCCCCCCTACAGCCCCCTCAAGCGGCGTATGCACCCCCCTTCCCCAGTGTTCCTGCTGTACAAGCACCTTACCCGCCGCCGTCAGCCGCCCGCGAAGTATTTTCGTCTCGGGGAGCGGTGGCGGCGGCGTTACCCACGCCGCGTCCCCTGCATAAGTACGAAAATCCCTCGCCCCGACACAGGCGCCACAAGAGCGAGAATCCCATGACACGCCACGGGACGGCGTAAGAGCGAAAATCTCCCCCCTCGCTTCCAAGGCCTTGGCGGGGGTGAAAGATCGTCCCTAAGGCGTCTGCTGTAAGGGTAATAGTACTCGGGCAATCCTAGGAAGTCGCTATAAGGACTATTTGGTAGCCAGAACAAGTCCTACCGGACATCTTAAAAAAATCAATATTATTGTACTGTATATGGTAGATAGGAACCGGCTGAATCAAATTAGTTATGTGCAACTGCAGATAAAGCTACTACCCTTAGGTTGGAAGAACTTATTTTAACAGTGACATTGTTATAAAATTACAACCAACTCGTTGACTGATAAGTTCCGGCAAGCGCCACCGGAGTCTAGCTAGAAGCGGATCAATCCACACTTTAAACAATCCCGTATCTAAAATCTTTAACAACAAACATGTTTTGGGAATCTTAAAAGTTTCCATGCATTACTTTTAACGGTTGTTTATGGAAAACAGTTCATAATAATCTCAAACCTTTGTTGTGCATTCGACTAGGTTTATTTGCAGTCTTCAGTTTATATATAAAAAACTGACTGATGAAGCCTTTTGCTACTACAATCGAGAAGCGAGATCTTTGAATGAACTTCAAAGTTCATTCAAAGCCATGACACCTAATTAAATTATTATTTTCGACAATCATTTTAAAATGTGAACGTCCACGAAAAAACACTAAACACAGTTTAGGCAAACGAACAATGTGCCAAATTTACTATATGTACATTACTACTACTTTTCACGCCTATAACACATGGGAGAAAGTAACAGCTGATTTAATTAGCCATCACAAGGGAGTTATCCACAGCGGGAGGCCGTGTGGGTGGGCACAACTCCTCCAGGCGTGTGTCAACACTAAGGCACGCCTCGACTTCCTCGTAAAAGCTTAATCACTCAAAACATTCTATATGCAACAGCGACAAGTAAAAAATAAAAAGTTAACTCTGCCTACTGCAAATATAATTACCTCATCATGCCGGTATATGGTGCTGCCAGCCTCTTAACACATTATTAAAGCAATGCTAACTATTAAACAGATTTAAAGAGACCAAATGCTGTAAATACAAGAAGCGCGTTTTTACAGCTCTAACACCACACTTTATGCAATAAATACAATAATAAATGTTTATGCAATAAATACAAAAATACACTACATCCCCCCACCACACTTAAGCACTAAACTAATGTATCTGTCAAAACTTAAACACGCTGGAATACAAATATATACTTTAAAACACCACAAATTATGAATAAAAGTCTATTATATACTTGACATTAGATTCAAGATATTGACAGACTAAAGCAAGATTAGTCAAAATGAAATGAGATAATTAACAAAATAATGATCTGTCAAAATTTAAACTACAAAAAAAAATCAAAGTCCCTGAAGTTTTGAGAAAAAGTTTAAGTAATTATAAAGTAATTAACCTATAAGACTGTAGGTGGGTACAAGGCTCTAGTAAGATCCAGGAGGTTAGTTTAGAGTTATATAAATGAGAAATAAGAGAGCGCGGGAGTGTGCCCGCCAAAAAGGAGGGGTGGAGGAGCGCGGGCTAGCCTCGCGCCGGGTCCCCCAACACCATCCCGCCAACTTTGAATTTCTAGCCTCGCACCGCCCTCCTATCCCTTCCCCCCCCCCCTGGCCTAACTTCAAACATTTATTCTAACTTAATTCACGTTTGGGGCTAGTAAATAGGGATAGGGGGGTTAATAGGGGGAGTGAGAGGCCAGGGAAGAGGGTGAAATGGGGGATAGGGTGAAGGGAGATTGAGTGGGCACCTGGCTCTCTTACCCTCAGCTACACATACTATTTTACACTATTTATTCACTACACTTCCTTCATGACTTAAAACCTCCTATAGCCGCCCCACCGCACCCCATAACACCCCTTAGTAACCTCTCACCCCAACAAACCTTAAACCACCAAAACACGTCTCAAAAACCCATTAAAATAAACCCTTAAAAAAGCCCCAACAAGCCTAAAAGCGACTTAAAAAAGGGGGGGTCGGCCCTTATGTCTCGGTGGCCACGTACCTCGGCGGCCCTCTTGGTGCCCTTCGTGACCTGCTCGTCGGCGTTAGCGACAGACTTCTCCGTGGTGGACATGGCTGGCGGCGTGGCGAGGGGTGTGAGGGGCCAAGTATGGCGTCAGGAGCTACACACACCAGACCGATTTCAAACCGACTGATGGCGGCGCTTCTCCCCGCCACCTCCCCGCTGATTGGCTGCCGGCCCGCCTGCCCCCGTGACGTCACCGACCTCTACCTTACACCTCTATCTCATTCCCGACGATTATTTGAAACCATTTTCGACTCTCATGTAGATTAAAAAATTATTTTAATGTAGGAAATGATGCATTTGGGTTTAATATTTGGTGCGTTTTAGATTATTTTACAAGGAGGTGGAGGCGGGCGCTGCGGCGTTTTGGTAGCGAGATGAACGGGTTTCCGGCGGCCTCTATCTCGGCGGCCGCCACCCTCGCCTCTCCTAGCGGCGGCTTCTCACTCATCTATACCCGAAATCCTCCTTCGGAACGATGGTACGTGGCCCCGGTGGTTAGCGGGGCATGGCGGTGACCTCAAGCTAGTTTTCTAGCCCTCATTGGGCCCCGTGGGTGTTATAACGTGGCGGTAATGGCGTGAAATATGAGGCGGTGTGCGACGGCCATAAGGTCGAGAGTGGCGTGTGTGTGGGTTTGTTTACGGTGTGACAACGTGGGTGCTGGAGGAGGAAGCTCTGTTAATATTGGTGATATTCCCGGCTGTGGGCGCTCCTTCACGATGGTAATGGTGGCTAGCACTGTGGCACGGTGGTGGCTGTGACCAGTCGGTGGCGTTGATGGGTTATTGTTTGTGTAATGGGGGTTAAATGGGACATGTGGGACCAGATCAGCTGACTCCATGTGGCGGTGGGGCCGTCTCGTGGACCCAGCTATCATGCCTCCATTTTAATTGAGACCCATATTTCGTCATTCTTTTAGTAATTTGAACTCATCGGATAATATTACTGCATTATTTGGTGCATTATTTGGTGCATTACTCTGTTATCTTCAATATTACTCTACAATCTAGGTCACTTTTGGTACAATATGGTTCACCATTATTTTATAAACTACCTGTTTTAACCTGTAATTAACTTTTGTACATTTTGAGATTTGGAAAAAAGAGCTACATTTAATGCTTTTGTTTGATAAAATCATTCTTGTACACTTACCAAGGCCAATGCTCTCGATGTACATTGATGGCTTGTATTAGGGATCGCTTTAAAGTTTTGCAAAGTGGATTGTATAGGAAACGTGTGGTCATTTCGAACATGATTACCAAAATTATGGTCGTATTAAATGTAATGTAACAAGTATTTAACTCATATCCATTGTGAAATGCTTATTATATCATTGGGTACGTTTATAACTACATACGAATTGGTGTGTACAATAGCCTTCTAAAAATTGCAGTACTTAATGTGGATTATAAGCATTATCAGAATCTATTGCATTTACCTAAGCCAGCATTTTCTGTCTTTATATCCTTGAAAAAACTCTGGGTTGTACTTTGTACTAATGATGCACAGGATTCATTGCCAACTGTCCTAGTTAAATCAGGGAAGTTGAACACAATTACTCGCTTTACTAAAAGTTGTGGATCGTCAGGTGTTATTGGGTATCACTCCGATAAAACACACAAGAGTTGTTACATTCTTGTACAGCCACTAGTACGCGTAGCGTTTCGGGCAAGTCCTTAATCCTATGGTCCCTGGAATACGATCCCCTGCCGCGAAGAATCGTTTTTTCATCCTGTAGAAGACGCTTCTACACCTGTAGAAGAACACATCACAGTCCAATGTGACAGCCCTTCAGCACCACAAATCGACGTTGTTGTGCTCCCTCTTGTTACGTCATTCCTGTGTTTTTCACAATTCAAATTTTTCCAGTTTTATCTGTGTTACAAGTTCTTATATATTTAGTTTGTAGCTGTTAATTTCTAGACATTATTTTCAAATGTTTTTCACCACTTTCATAATTCTAAGTTCTGTAACAATATTTTGCATTTTTGTAGACGGTGTTTTGACAATACGAATATTATATCAATACCTGCATTCTCATAGTGGCTGGGGAAAAGGTTTAGGCAGACATTAAAAAAAATAGCAATTATATTGCCCTGCCTTACACCTGCATATTTGCTTCCATGTCCTGATAATTTGATTCAGTATTATCAGTATTCCAGAAAAGGCTACCTTCATCTGGACATCATTAGCAATGTAAAGTAGTATGTGATTAATAATACTTTCTACTTCATGTTGCAGTAGTCCGTAGTGCAACAGTTTTTTTTGTAGCAACAAAATGCTGTAATACCCTTAGCATGGAGGAATAAGTTGTTCTGCTGCTTGTGGGGCTTCTTCCCCATTTTAAGTCAAGGTTGCCCGAGGCGAGCCTTATTTAAACTGGCAATATTTCGGCAATTGCTGTTTTCTTTTAATGAGAGTAGAAAGAATGTTGGTGAATCAAAACATTGGAATAACGTAGGAATAGTGTAGAAACTTGTCTTCTCGATTTCCTGTCTTCTCGATTTCCTGTCTTCTATTGAGGTCATTGAAGTAAATGTACGATGAGTTAGGCACCAGTTAGGCATTTTAGTTACTTTTGTATATTGAATGCCGGTAAAATTCGTACAAGTTGAAAGTGGAAGGCCAACTAAAATGCATTAAAATCTACTTAGCTTGGAAAAAATAATGAAAATTTGTCTAATTAGCTTTGTTTCTGTAATAGGTATAAAGGCTGTCTAAAACTGCTGGTAAGCCATAGAGTAGGAAATTCCAATGTTGCCTACATATTATAGGCCTATCTGCTAGAGTGCATTTTATAGGCTCTCGGGAAATTTGACTGATACAGGCTGTGCTTCTCTTAGACCATATTTGCCAGCATAAAAAACCCACCCTCGCATAGGATGAACCTCAATTTTACAAGGATATTTTGTGGGAAAAAACTTACTATGATTCATTATACATTTGTTGAAAGATATTTTAACTTTGCGTGGCCCACCTGCAACGCACGTACCTAAATTTTTGTGCTACGTCGTTCATTTTGAAATGGTTCGCAATAGACTGCTCTAAAGGGATATATACATATAAGGTCAAATAGAAGAACAGCATTACCAGTACCATAAGAAAAAGTAGTGACGTGAAAAAAAATTAAGATTTTCGTCATAGTTTACAGTTGCTATTTATTCCTGATATTATTTGTTACACTATACTGCATTATTGGTTTTTATGTTGCTTCAGGTTTATAAAGGTGGTAACAAAAAAATATCAAGGTAAAATAACCAGAACAGGTACACATTTTGACTCGAGGGTAGGTCGGGGCAGTGAAGAGCGTGATCACAGAAACCACGAGCCTCCCGCTTGGGTGACTACGCATGCAGCAGTGTCGTGATGCCACATGGGGAAGGGGGGGTATACAGAGAATAAAGACATTGGCGCGCATTTTAAAAAGTCCCATAATAATCAGACAATAAATGGAATTTTTAAAAAAATTGAATTGTTGGTGGCGTCAAGTCATGTCGCGCACTACGCATATTGTTTTAACACTTAGTGCTTTGGGCGAGCGAGCATCAGACCACCCCAAGGTGTGCTGGGCATTCCACGGGAGAGCGCGGTTTTAAATTTTGTCATGTCAATTCTCATCCTAGGTTTTCCATTTTGGTATGAATGTGTTTGCAATAAAATTCCCTACATGAATATATGCATATAATGTCCAAAACTGCAGCGCGCCCCACCCGCAACCAAGCCGAAAGCAGGCGGAACTTTTTTCATTTTTGATGCACTAATGCGTCATTCCTGCACATTTGTCTGATAAATTTTTGACACAATACTGCGTCGTGCCCGTGCCAAAGTGTTAAAAAAAAAAAACGTCTTATTCACTAGCAAATACAATACTTTGCCTGCCTTTGAGGTGGTTCCTAGGACTTGTCCCCAAGGCCAGGTCTGACCAAGCTGTAGGACACCAGTGCACACTGACGTAAGAGTCACGGCTGCGTTGATCAGACTTTTGGTTGCAATTACAAAGTTCTCTTGAATGCTTAGTCTGTTATTCCTGTTATGTTTTAGAGAGAACATATGAATTAAAAGAGCACTATTGCAGGCCTTGTGGTCCATTATAGAACTTTTCACCCTATTATTTAATAGGTCCACATTATTGCACATCTCAAACATCTTGGCTGTAAGCATTATTCATATTTCAAGCCCAATTTTATTTGCTACAGAAGTTCTGGATGTTGTGTTTGTCGTGTATGGTGTTTGTATATTATAAATACCCTCTTTGTTTCCTCAGGTGAACATTCCCAAAACCCGGAACACGTTCTGCTGGAAGTGCAAGAAGCACCAGGCACACAAAGTTTCCCAGTATAAGAAGTCTAAGGTAAGGCCTGGGTAATAAGGAAGGTGTTGAGTCTTGCTTGCTCATTTGACCTCTGCAGTCTTGTGTACTTAGTTTTGTGTGACTGCAGCAGTGTACAAGTTTGAGGAACTACCATAGTACAGTAGAAACTTGTATTTTGATATGAAATGCTATGTTAGCTAAATTGTGTAATGTACTACATGGCTTAAATATATTGTAGTAGATAAATCGTGTTTTAAAAATTGAAATTGCTCAAGTGCAAAATAAAGCTTTGGCCTCACTCACGTGGGGTCCGCGGATAGTCTCATAGTCCAGGTGAATGGATTACCGAAGTATAGTTACGAGACGAGAGCTACACTTGTGGTGTCCCGTCTTCCTAGGACGGTGAAGCAATGAGAGACGGGCTAGTATGAACATTATTGGATTGAATTGTGTGAGAATAATTTTAAGGTTGTTTGCTAGTTGATTTATTTGTTGCAGAGGCCAGTACATCAGCAAAGTTGACATGTAGGAATGCTTATGAGGTACATGCAGGAATGCTTTGTTGCTCCAGATAAAGAAATACTGGTTGTGTAGATGTTAGATTAGATTAGTTAATTTATTATGCATCCCTTACTCTTGAAAGATGGCATGTCATATTTGTGCTGTGCTGGAGGATTTAGGAGAATGAACTTTGTACCACGGAAAACAGGAAATTCCCAAGAAATTAATAGCTGGCAAATTAGTTAGATCCGTGGCAGCCAAATTGTGTACATGGTATACAGTATTGTTTCAGTCGTGAGATATCGTGTAGAGAAAATGCATGTGAAATATGATGGAGGTAAAGTTTTCCTTTAGCAGGGAGTGAGGGTTGCATAAATTAGGTGAAAGTTGCATTGGGGCATTTTTGTGAAGACAATAAGTGACTGAAGGAAAATGCTGTGGAGCAAGGTGGAAAATCTGTGTATTAAATGGGGGGGAGTGTTAGTGATTGTTTGAATTTTGTATCTAAAATGACATGTGGAGTGTGAAGTCAATAAATTGAGGACACCATATTAAGATAAAATAGATTTAAAAATGTTGTATGAATGGATAGTGATTCCCTAATGAAGAAAGTATTATAGTGAATCATGAAAGATAGGCCAGGAAGAAGCCTGGTGAATACACGCAGAAATCACAATAGCGTGATGCATCAAATGAACAAAACCACAAGGGCCGTGACGAGGCTTCAAACTCATGCCCGGGATGATCACAAACGTTGCATTTGTGATCATTCCGGGCATAAGTTCGAACCCTCATCACGGCCCTTGTGGATTTGTTCAAGACAGGTGAATGTGGGGGGAGTGAGAAGAAGCCAGACGAGAATGTGTACAATGCACTGCATATGATATGGATTAAAACTGCAGGAGGTGTTTTCAAGAAGGGAATATAATGTGTTTGTATAGATATAATTCAGAAGAACTATACACTGCATGTTGTGTATAATTCTTTTGAATCCACTCTACACCACGCGGCTAGAGTGAGGGCGCTTTTATTTAAGATGCTATATATTATAGACTAGTGATGATTTTAATATTTTCTTTGGGTTGATTACTTGAATCCTGTGAATTTAGAAAAGGAAATGTGTATTTGATATTTCACATCATTAATTATTTGCATGGTAATTAATTTGCCTTGTGGGGGTATAAATTAAAGTTGTATTCCTGCACTTTGCTCCTGTCTAATTATGTGTTTTACAGGGAAACTCGTGCAGGTAGAGAAATACCGCCCCTTTCGATCTTTGGTTTTCTCTAAACATAAAACCAAGGCACCAACAAGGTGGGACATTTCAAATAGGATTACAGTATTTTGAAGTGTTTCATAGTTTTTTTCATTGGTAATTTAATCATTAACTTCATTGCAGGAACGCACCTTTGCCCAAGGTCGTCGCCGTTATGACAGGAAGCAGTCAGGGTATGGTGGCCAGTCGAAGCCTATCTTCAGGAAGAAGGTACATTTGACCATTTAAAAAATATTTTTATATAATGCAATATCAAATTTCCTTGCATATCAGTGTTGATACTTTCTAATTGCACATTGTGTGGCATCCAATTTGAAACGTTACACAAAATCATATATTATGCAATGTTTTCTTTATCCCATAAAATAGAGCAATTTTTTAGATTCAAGACAATAAAACGGTCACAAAAGCATTATTAGCATTTTTGTTAAACACGAGTGCTAATACTAGTGGTGGTTGGGAGCTATCCAGGGTTAAGAGTGCCAGTCAAATGATTTGACGGGATGAAAGACTTCATTGCATATAAATTGAATAAGCTTTCTTTATGCTAAGACTTAAAAATATATTTAAAAGTATTCATTATCTTGCTAGGGTACTTGTAAAGTAGCATTTGAACCGATGCTACTAATGAAGAGTAAATCTGAATCCAATTTGTTGGATTTATACCCTGGATTTAAGTTGCCTCGTGGGGTATAATTTTAGGTTGTATTCCTGCACTTTGCTCCTGTCTAACTGTGTGTTTTACAGGGAAACTCGTGCAGGTAGAGAAATTACCGCCCCTTTCGATCTTTGGTTTTCTCTAAAACATAAAACCAAGGCACCAACAGGGTGGGACATTTCAAACACGATTACAGTATTTTGAGGTTTTAAGTACTTTTTTAATTGGTAATTTAATCATAGACTTTATTGCAGGAATGCCATCTTTTACTTGGAAGATGGTGCAATGAATTTTGTTTGGAGTAATTTGTGGAAATTAAATTTTACTAGTTGATTTTTTTTGTGCTTTTGAGACAAGCTGGAATTCTTGCAAATACCGTATCTAATAAATACCGTATCACTTGACTGTCGGGTTTCCAGATAAATTTCCCAGTTGTTAATACGGTGTCTTGTACCCTGATAAATTTCCTATTTTGTATTAAAGAATTCTTATGATTAAAATAATTTTAGAGATCATAGAAGTTTGTTAAGAAAATTTTATAAAAAGTCAGGGCAAAGTCCTCTCCCATCATACTGAGAATAAACTCTGTCATAAACAGATATTTTAGACTGTATTCTTTTAAGTAGAACTTTTACCTACAAATGAGTCTATATAACTAAAAATGTAGCTTTACCCGGCTACATGAGACGTTGCTACAAATCATGATGAAATAAGCTACATGTGTATGGGTAAAAGCGAAGATGGTGCAATGAATTTAGTTTGACGGAATTTGTGGAAGAATCTTGGCAACGGATTTGATAAGATTCCTGAGCAAGGGGCAGCTAATCTCGCCTAGAATAATTATCTAATAAACAACGGTAAGCAGAGTAGATTAACATCAGTGGTATGTATTAGTTTTTAAACACCCTTGTATTATTTAGCGGAAAGTGGATCTGATAGTTATATTTTTATTTTTAGGCTAAAACCACAAAGAAGATTGTACTGAAGATGGAGTGCAACAAGTGCAGAATCAAGACCCAGCTTCCTCTCAAGAGATGCAAGCACTTTGAACTGGGTGGTGACAAGAAGCGCAAGGGAATGATGATCCAGTTCTAAGCTGTCACTAAAGAGTAAAAAAAAAAAAACCTCCAGCTCTTTTAGTTTCATTTATCCGTCTGTACTAAAATACATTTTTTTTTTTATATTACAAGCTTTCTAATTTATGCAAACTAGCTTATTTAATTACAACATTTTCTTGTTGCGGACAAAATGTAGATGTCGTCAAATGTCAAAATGCCGTTGTCTTCCCAAATTACTTTAGATTTGATGTGTGCTACTATTGGCTATTAAAACTACAAAGTATTACCTGCATATACCTGCATGATATGTTTGTGTTCATAGGTTGATGAATTATCTTTTGTCCTAATTTTGCCAGCTTTGTATATATTCTTTTTTTTTTGTCTCGGCTGCATGCAAAAATTTAGATTAAATATACTTATATTTTGAGTACGAGAGTATTTTGGTAGCATTCTTTCTTGTAGACATCATTGAATAGGACAAATAGTGAGATCTTTGATTCTAGCCCAAATCAACTTTCTTTTTCATATTTTTCCCACCCCCCGTAGTGTTTTGATTTAGTTGACTGGAAGCTATCGCCTCTTGCCCTGGAAGGCGCTCACCCTCTCAACTAACCATAGTTTATGAAGAGGTCTACAGCTCTGGAATACCCTCAAAACAAATGTTAGAAATAATGCTGGAACAAAAGCATTAGTATTCAAAAACCAATTTATAACTGTTCCTGTAGGAAGTTTGATCAACCAGGTGGTAATGGATTCACTAAATCCTTAGTGAATCCAGTACCTTTGATTTTATTCACCTTTTGTGCTCTTGTTCTCGTCATCCTAAGCGAAATTTATGCACCTTTAGAATATCCTGTAACAATAATAGTGCGATAGTTCCTACTCTTGGAACCTTCTTTTGGTAATTACTTGCCTCATTTTTTGATAGGAAATCTATTAGAGTAATGAAAAGGTTATTGGCTAAATTGTTTATTAAAACAGACTATACATCATATATCACAGATCATCTCACTTTGGAGTTCAGTACAGAACTACTGTAATGCAAAAAAAGTCAAACCAAGAAAAATAAAATACCTTGCCAGCAGTAGAATGCTCATGAACTTGGGAACAATATATATATTACCTAAATATATATATAACAATTACTTACTAAAACCTCCATTAACACTTTCGTGTTTCATAATGCACGATTTTTGTTTATTACAAATCACCTTTGTACAATTATAACAAAATTACAGTACGCCATTGAATATTGCTGGGCATTTTCTTTTAAGACCATTGAGAAAATCAGACGCCAGGAGGATTCAAACCGGCACACTGGGTACTCTCGAGCACATGCCTGATACGGCGACGTGATAAAAGCAATGCATCCTGGGATTCAAGTGGATCTTTTAAGAGATCCTAAGGCTACTACTGAAGCCCAGTCAGGGTGCATGAAGCAACATGTGATGCTCTGCTCTGAATTCAGTGGAAGTCTCTACCCCTAGAAGATTTGGTTAAATTCCTAAATAAATTCCTGCATGACCATGCTGTGTTCTAAGGAGGAGGGGGGGGGTGTATGTGAGACTTCCTCAAGGCTCTCCTGACTTTCTCATTGATCTGTTATGGTAATGTGATTTCTTTGTGAACTACATTTTATAATAGCATTTAAGTCTCAACATACATATTGTATTTACCAGATAGTCATTCATTAAATGGACACTACAACACACTTGCATATGAAAGGTTTATAGAGAGGGAATGGATGCTCAGGATGATGAGGGGGCTGAAGGTGGTGCTGATGCTACGTATTCTGCCATGCATTGGTGTTCAGACATGCAGACATTACAGAACGCTGTTCGGCCATGCACCTCCAGTAGGCAAAACTAAAGAGGCAAACGATTTGGTCCCAGATCTTATTCAAATGTGCCAACATCAAAACAAAATCAAATTTGATTTCTAGCTGAAGAAATTCTAGTACTTTATTACCGCTGATATAGTATAGATTCTGAAACATGGATGTCGGTAAATCTTTCATGTAGCTACACTTGGAAATCTTGCTGCAGTACCGAGTATCAGCATAAAACTGGTATTTATCTTGCAGGGATTTCAAGGTTAGAAAATGTGAAAGATTAATCCCTGCAAATTGCCTTTCAAATACTGTAGCTAGAAATTTTAGTCAAGAAACTGAGGGTGACCGATAAATCTACCCAGAGGTAGATGTACATACTTCTGTGCAGTGGTATGTACATTCCTCTGACCCCTCAGTTTCTCAATTCTGAAATTTCTCTTCTTTACAAATCTCTCTCTCACCATGGTTATCCCTTGAAATTTCATCTGTCCCCTTTCTCAAGCTAATAGAACTTACTCGTCTTCTTCCAATACTATAAACACTGATGTGTCTTCCCTTCATATCTAAACTAAAACAATCTCGCCAATGCCTGTCCTCTTGATATCAAACTCTCCCTTCGGCAAACCAATAGACACTATTAATTTGATTCACACTGCTGTTCCAGCTCCTAAGGCTGCTAGTGTTTATTCTATTGCTGTCTTCAGTTATATTAGTGGGACTAATTCTTTAGATTAGATCTAAATTTGAGGCATACTTCTCTAGAAGTACAGTATACTTCACTGCAACCTTTTAACTATGTAGATCAATTAACTAATAATGTGTTGAATTCCATTACCAATATTCTAGAGCAAAATTATTCACTCCAAGATGAGGCCGAGCCGGAGTCAGAGTCGTTATCAGATCCAGCAACTTCACTGGCATCCATGGGGGGAGCTGGTGCATTTGGATCACTGTAAACAAAAATCAAATGAAATAAACAGCAGCCGTACTTGAGTTAGAAGTGGTAAATCATGTCACGAAGAAGGGGGCATAAGAACAAAAAACATCCTGATCCTAGCAATATCTAGTTCAATAAAGCAATGCTGAGCTATAATTTTCCTGAGAGCGGTGTTAACCAATTTGGATTAACAGATATGACACAAGTAAGGTGAAGGTTTCTGTTACATCAACTTGCCAATACATAACAGAAGTTTCCCCACTGTTACAGTGACAGGAAAAATATTACAGGCTTATTACACACATAGTACTATGTAATTTCTTATTCACAACAGCAAATCATCTATCTATTCAATGGTTGCAGATTGCATTATGAATAATGGTACAAATCTGAACGGGAACTCATTTCTGGGAGATGGGACAGGCATGAACTAGCAGCATCTTTAGCACCAGCAAGATAACTGGAGTCGACACCAATATGGCTGCAAACTAGACAAAATTAGCATATCTTCTAAAGCTGAGAAACAGCCCAAGTTGTATTTCGATCTCCACAATATGTCACAAGGGTTAAAAAAAAAAGACTAGTCAACTATAAGAACAAACATTGAATCATTAAAGTAAGACTTAAGACATGGCATAAAGCCCTGCAGTAAAAAATACTTGTTAGTGGGGAATGCAATGTATAAAGGTTTGATCTGGAAAAAATAATGTAAAAGCTAACCCATTGATTAACATAGCACATGAATGGTGATATATGTTTTTAAGGAAAAAAACATTTCAAAACCATATAGGTTGGCCCTCACCATACAGGTAAGTGCTTTACAAAATTTAAGAATGAGATTCTCTACGAGGGTAGAAAACTGCGTATCCTTACAGTTGATTACACTGGAGAGTGAGCAGAGCTTTCAATATAGGCAGTGGACAAGTGTGATTGGGGATTTGTAGGGCCCTTGCAAAGTATCAAAGGCAATGACAATTGCCATGGTCTTGTAACAATGGCACACTGGCCTCTGCATGTAAGTTATAAACTCTATTTAGGAATGAACAAAAGTTGAAGTGCAAGACCTTATGAGGGGACAAAGGAAACAAACATACATGGCATCCACAGTCCTGTTTAGACTACTAGAGAGGAATGCGGCCATTCATCTATCCATTCCCAAGATAATGGGTATCGTATATCTATACCATACGACAAGACTTGGTAAGGAAAGGGCCTCAGATCATTTTGGTCATAAGTGATGGACAATGAATGACCAAGACAGGTAAGCATCAAAGATCAACCCTTTAGTTTTGTACAATCCTAATATAATGGTTAACTTCCATTGATGGTCAAGGGGAACAATGGATAATATGCTTCCCAGTAAAAGTCATGGCACAAGGTTTCGTAGAAATGTAGGGAACTTAGGCTTCGAAAGAAAAACAGCAAATCGGTTCAGAGTTCTGAACAAATCCACTAGGGCCGTGATGAGGGTTCGAACCCAAGTCCGAGAGGATCCCAGATGCGCCTTAATCAACTGAGCCACGACACGGTAAAAGAATTGCAACCGGGAGTTCATCTGCACTCACACGGATCCTGCAGTCTCTCTGAGACAAACCAGGGTTTTACACAATTGAACAAATTCACAAGGGCCGTGACGAGGATTCGAACCTACGTCTGATATCATTCCAAACGCTGCCTTAATCGACTGAGCTACGACATGGTAAAAAGAGTTGATGCATTCATTTAATGCATCACGCTATTGTGATTTCTGTGTGTTTTACACAATTCAAATTTGTTCATTTGATGCATCATGCTATTGTGATTTCTATGTGTAATGAAGGGCAAAGAGGTAGAACAGCTTACTGACAGCTCGGGTGCACGGGGAAATTGTATAAATCCCTGGTTTGTGCCTTTGAGAGATTGCAGGATCTGTGTGAGGGCAAATGAACTCCTGGTTGCAATTCTTTTACTGTGTTGTGGCTCAGTCGATTAAATTGCGTCTAGGATCATCTCGGACATAGGTTCGAACCCTCATCACGGCCCTTGTAGATTTGTTCATTTGATGCATCACGCTATTGTGATTTCTGTGTGTAATGCAATTCTGTTACATATATTTCTACATTCTCTCCAGGTTAAAATGGGATGGTCGTAACTAAATTACCTACAGAAAAAGCATTAGGACTGTAAACTTCTAAATCTACCAGGATGTCAATCGTGCTGCATCATTTATGAAAGCCAAATTGAGAGGGGAAAGGGGTAATGATTATTCTAAAAACCTTACAAGTAGCACAGTTAAAGATGCTGAAAGAAGCTTAAAATCAACGAGAGATTGGAAAACAAGATAAAGGGAACAAACTATACCATTTATTCATGAGTACAGCATATGAGTGGCAGTGAAATGGATGCTTGACAGAAAAAAAAAGAAAAAGAATGTCAATGTGGAATGGATTTTCGACAAAGAAAGGAGCATCATAGAAAATTATAAGTGCGGTGGTGCTAGGATGATTATTATTAGATTAACAGTACTCTATATACTGTATATTATAAATTAACATACAATATTTTGCTAATTTTAGAATCACTAGAATTCGTTATTAATATTCTAAAGAAAAATAAATGCTTAAATATTTAAAAAAAAATAGTTTATGTTATTTATGGTAGTTATACAGGTACACCCGTACCAATGAAACTTTAATTTGCTCTAGTAGAGAATTAGAACAGATGAAACCATTCGGTCAGCTGGTTGCAGTACCGAAAACAACTGGCCTCAACCGAGATCACCCGAAATCGCGAGAAGCAGAATGGGAATTTCCTACCAAGTACACCTGAGGGACCTGCCCTCAAACTGCATGAAATGTTGCCCCATGTGACAAAAAAAACTTACAATTTATACATTTTAAATGCAAAAGTCTCAACAAAATTACCAAATGTACAGTATTCTATTTGTTTATATAAGGGGCAAGGAAATTTGCGATGGGAGGTACTGTTAACACAAAAATACCATAAGCACTTAGAGCTTTGCTTATTTCTTAATCTGTTACAGTATATATAAAATCACTACTTGAACACTAGACGCTAGACTAGACACTAGACTATTTGAACACCAGATGCTGCACCAGGATTGACAACCAGTGCGCAATTCCATAGTCTCCCGAGACTGAAGGATGCCTACTACTATTTGAACACTAATAAGTATTCCCTTTGTTCAGTGAAGAGGCTGGCCAGTAGTAGATGTGGTGGCAATGATTGGAGGATTTACCCGAAACGCTTTGCGTATTAGTGGCTTTAGGTATTGAATGTACTAGCTCTATCTATAAATCCAACATTATGTTTGTAACTCGTCATCTATGTGTGTACATGTACTCTTATCTGAATAAAAATTTGAATTTATACAGGAACCTAGGATATTTTTACCAAGGATAGCAGATCATAGCCATCTTCTGAGCATATGAATTACTAATTCCCAGCTGATTATAAACAACTAATACATTAAAAACCATTATGACACGCAAGGAGTTCCCGACGCATGTCGTACAGCATATAGAGCAGTACGAAGGGTATGGGTAAAGAGAAATGGTATAAAATATTTCATACATCTAGAAAGGATGGCATGACAGTTGACTTGTAATTAAAATGTACTGTATAAAAAGTTAGAAAAAGAATGAAGGATTACTCGTGTCAGTACCAAAATAGCAGTGTTACAATACTGCCCACACCATATTGCTGCTGCTGGAGGATCATTCCCAAGGTAAATAAAAATAAGTGAGCGATCTTAGTTATCCTTTTCACGATAACCCCAAACACAGAAAATGCGAAACTAAAAGATTTAAAAATACTACGAGACTTTACCGATGGTGTAAACAAAGTTCAGTCAACTAATAATAAAAAGCCAAATGAGAATATTTTACTCACTCAAGTAAAGAGGGATCAACACCTTCACTTGACATCTTCATTCGAATAGCTGGTTCAGGCACTCCCATCCTTAGCATTCTGAAATATTGTACGTATCGAGGGTCTTGGCTGACAGGTGTGGCAGTAGATGCTGGAATTATTTCATCCCCCTCATCTTTGTCCTTCACGTCTGCTGCAGCACTGATGGCTGCAGGCGTTTCAATAGATGGTGGTACACCTGGTTCGGCTGCACTCTGGCTTGAAGTGGCATCAGTATTGGCAGTTACAGCACTGTCTGAGGCTGCAGCTGTAGGGGTGCTATCAGGAGCTGGGGCAACCACACTTTCCAGCCCAGGTACTGAATTTAACTGAAAAATATCAAGTTAAATAGAATATGTGGTACTAGATTGACCAAAATGATAGTTACTAAAAATAGAGTAATGTCATTTGAATTTTTTTTACTAAAAAAGGGGGATCAAACAAGATGTTGTTTTACTCCTCTATTATATGCTTACCTCATCTAGCAGCAGGTTAAGCCTGGCCCATTCAGACTGTCTCTGAGAGCGAGAACAAGAACCATGGAAACACACAAGTCAGAAATAAGCCGGTAAGAACCAGCCGCACAAGATAAAATTTGAGTGACCGTCTCCAGAAAGAGGAGAGGTGAAACAGGGAGGACAAGAAGGCAAAGGACAAGCAGAATCTAATGACTGGATTATCACAGCCTGCTGACATGAGAGACTGGCAGAGTAGAATGCAGCCACTGCCTTCCGAAACACGGATGCATACAGCTTGGACGAAGCCACTGATGTTTTGAGAGATTTGACTGCTTGTTTACATTGTTGGGGGGAGTCATAACCAGAGTGATTTGTTCATTTCAGGGTTTCACTTATTTTCTTTGCTTTGTTTACCTTGCTGTTTGTATATTTTGGTTCGCCAACCTTTCTGGAGGCCTTTTCTTCGTTACTGTGATCTCGGAGGCCTTTCTCCTTGAATTGAGTGGAGCTTATCAGAAAGCAAGCACCAAAGCCATTTCATTCCATTCACCTTTTTTTTTTTAAATTAATCTCCATCCTTAGCTCAAACTCTTGTTATGACTCTGCCTTGTGGAAGCCACAAAACTATGGTGTTATACAGAAAGTGGAAACGATCTACCCTCCCTCGTTTCTAAGCACAGCCGAGTGTTCAGCAAGCTTGCTGTAATACTACTGTACTATTTTAAACACACTATTCAGAACCAGACAAACTTAAGAATATGCCCCCCAACAGCCAAAGCCACATGGTCAATAAAAGTCATTATAAACACTATAAAGTACAGTAATTGTATTACTTGCCACATCTAAGGTTTATTTCACAATGCCATTTTTTTCCAGTCATATATGTAGTGCCATCAGTTGTAATTTCATTGCAATTAGCAGACTAATCTGTACAGTATCTTCAAATTACACTAATTCAGCATTTGAACTGGTCGGTAGAGTGACAGCCTTGGTACATACTGGGCTGGTGTTTGATTCTCAATGGGTGAAGTGGTTGGGTACTGTTTCTTCACCCTGTTCTCATATTCCATCTTTCAAGTGCAATAGTAGTATTAGTAGGCATCCATCAGTGTCAGGAGACTATGGAGTTGCGCTCCGGTGTCAGCCTGGTCTGGAGTGGCCTCACCAGGGCACAAAACCAGGGTAGGTTGATTCGGGGAAGAAGCTGTTACCCAGGCAGCAGGTCCCCCCTCTCCACGGTGCTGAAAGTCTCCAATGGAAAGGCATACGCCAATACGATTGGTTCCAGCACTGTCGCAGGAACTGTGAGTTCCGGGGATGACCTCGAAGTTGGTGAAAAAGGGCACAGGGACTCGGACCCAGAGACCGCCGTTGTTGGGGCCGGAGAAAAACCGTCCCATCAAGGGCAAGAACGACTCCAGCCTCCTGAAGCAAGAGCCTGGACCGCACGAGCCCCAGGAGGTGGATGTCCCGGTCCCGCACCTACGGGTTCCAGACAAAGATCGTCACATCGTTCTTCTTGAGTCTTGTGCTTCTTCAGCCTTCTTTACGAATCTGGCTGGAGAATTTTTTCTCTTCGTTTTGTTTCTTGTTTTCCTCATCCACCGCTGATTTATAGACGAGATTTCCTGACGACTCTGTTCCGATCATGAATATTTTTTTAAATAGACTTCTTGTGTTATGATGAAGGATGAGTAGAGATGGCACTCTTGTCCGTAGAGCTGGAGTACGAGACATGTTCGAGCAAGGGGAAACATTTATGTCAAACTCTGTATTCATTGCTGAACTCGATCTCGATGGCTTGACAGTTCTTCAGGTAATGAGTGTAGGGTGTATATCCAGGATGCACCCCTTGGATAGCCCTATATTCAGGGATTCCTTGTCCTCTTATTGTGGTCAATATCATCATGGATGAAATTTTATTTTTGTTTCATACAGAATGCCAAAGCCTTGGTTCCCTTAACACTTTCGTTCGGGAGGGACCAATGTGATGTCCGAAATTAACTCTGCGGATGTTCGGGAGGGACGTAGCCGACTCCCAAATTTAATAAATTTGTTAAAATTACATTTTTTATCCAATCATTTCTGGACACGTTTTAAATTTTGTGCCAATGCCTTCCCATTATCTGTTAAGGGCCATGTGGCAGTGAGTTTTTTGAAACTGAAGCAGCAGGTAAGGATGAGATTGAAAGTGAGGGGAGTGATGATTTTGATGCTCGTACCGCCACAGGCTCACGTGGCCGTACCGCATCAAGGAAATGGCAACGTTTGGTCAAGCCTGGTCAGACAACACTCCACCATTTGTAGAAAGTTTTACTGCAACACCAGGCTTGACTGTACCATTACTATTCACTCCTCTTGGATTTTTACAGTCATTTATTACACGAGATTTGTTGCCATATTTTGTATATGAAACAAACTTGTATGCATCACAAAGCAACTGCAATGCTTCTAGCACCCCAAGCAATAAGTGGGATGAATTGAGTGTAAAAGAGCTTGCCAGATATTTGGGACTGACAATGTTAATGGGCATTATTAAGTTGCCAGCGATGAAAATGTACTGGCAAACAGGTAAAATGTGGCATGTACTATACGCCCCAAGAGGGGCGCCTGACAGCTGGGTGGACAGCGCTTCAGATTCGTAATCCTGAGGTTCCGGGTTCGATCCCCGGTGGAGGTGGAGACAAATGGGCAAAATGTTTCTTTCACCCTGATGCTCATGTTACCTAGCAGTAAATAGGTACCTGGGAGTTTAGACAGCTGCTACGGGCTGCTTCCTGGGGGTGGAGGCCTGGTCGAGGACTGGACTGCGGGGACACTAATGCCCCGAAATCATCTCAAGATAACCTCAAAATAACCATGTGTGTTATGGTTTAATTAAACTTTTTAAGAATTGACATCTAATTTAGTCATAAAAACTACAGCTCTGTGTTACCAAAATGTGTAAAGCAACAGGGGAATTTAATTCTTGTTAGCCATGACATTCCTTTTACAGTCTGTAATCTTCAACCAGAACTGACTGCTCCAGCAGGTATAATTCACCTTGATGAATTTATAACAGTATGCTTTATTTAAATCCTAGTGCATCAATACATGTTGATAAATTAAATGATCTAATTTTAGAGCTCCCATAGCCATTTATGCTTGTGGGTGATTTTAATGCCAGACTTTTTCATTGGAATGATGTGAAATCTAATTTGACGGTGGAACGTCATTCTTGATTTTATATTAATAGCTGTGCCTTCCAGGGGTTAATGTGGTTCCACGTTTTTAATGATTTTCGTAGATAGGTGCAACATTACAAACAATTATAAGGGACCTTATGAAAACCATTTAGCACATTTAAAACAAAATTATATGGTTCATATTAATTTTGAGATTCTCTGGTTCTCTTTCACTAATATGGGGTCCTTTTTTCTTTGAAAATGAGATTTCAAGACTAGGGCATATAAAAATGCTAGACATAGTTAAATCACTTTAAAGATAGGTTCATTGGGGAGTTATCCTTCATATGACTGGTTTAAATTAAAGTTTCACTCAGTGAAATCAACCCTTTGAGCATCAGAAATATTAGGGAATGAATAGTAAACACTCTTAATATGGCTCCAATCACAGTTTGATGTTTTTTTGTAGATGGATTCAACATTACATGAAACAGTTGGAGCCTTGGGAAAGATATTGAAAATATTTAAAACCAAATTCTATGGTTTGTTTTTATTCCGAGTTGGCAAGGTTTTCGTTAATACATATATGGCCTTGCTACTTTTTGAAAATGAGTTTTGAGGCTGGGGATGTGAGAAATAAGCTAGATGTAGTTAAATATTTCTGCAGATATGTCCATTTAGGAGTTGTCTATTATATAATAGGTTGAAATTAAAATTTTGCCAAGTGAAATCAGCCCATAGGGCATGGGAAATTCATCTTGCAGGCATCTCTGGTCTCTGGTTGCAACGTATCCCTCACTGCAATGAATTAGGGTTTGTCCCATATAGTTAGTCGAATCGAGGATGTACTACTTTAATTCTGCCCGGGGGTTGAACCCAGATCCCTGGGTTGTGAGCAGTAGACCACTGAATGGGAACAAATGGTGGGGAACACGAACCTGCCATTCATGTTAAGTTGTATATACGTATATATACAACTTGCATAGTATGCTGGATGCAGATAGCCAGCATACAATTCCATACAGAGAAATACAAGAAGATATGTAAAACAAAATTTTACCTTGGCTTCAAGAATAGCTAGTGTGTGATCAGCTCGGCGAAGTTTAGTATCGAGGTTTACAAGTCGTTCCTCACAGACTGCTGAAAACTGGTTAAGAAAAGCCACTGTATGGAGCGCCCAATGGTTAATGAAGGCCAGAGTTCTTTTCTGATTGACTGCCTCCACCTGAGAAAGATAAAATATGATCACAACTAAATTACAAATGATTGTACAACATAGATTTTATATATATTTTGCACTTGATGCTTTCTTTTGTAATTCTAAGGAAGGTTTAGGCAGATAAAATTTAGGGCAAGAAGGAATTCAAAAATCTTGAATACTATTTTTACCTATAAAATTTGGTTTATAATTTATTCTTGGTAGTTTTAATCACAAGACAAAAATGTACAGAATTATACAGAACAAATAATATAAAAATTACTGTACTGTACTAATAAACATAGAAGTACAGTAGCACCTTGTTCAAACAGACCACAACGAACCACAACCAATGGTGGGCTAAAAAAATTGGCCAACAGCCACTCCTGACGAACCAGAATATGACGTTTACTGCTCCACGCTGTTTTGGTAGATTGGCATGACTTGGGCCCCCTAGACTATCAATACAGTATTTAGTATATTTTGAAAGTTTTTAGTATTCTTCAGCCCTATATCAAAATACTAGTACAAAAAAAATGCTATTTCAAAGTACTTCACTACTGTAATATTTAATACAAATTTTTTAAGTTCATTTGACCTGCTTTCGACTTGGCTGTAGGTGGGGTGCGCCGCGGTTTTGGACATTATATGTATATACTCTTGCAGGGAATTTTATTGCAAACACATTGATGCCAAAATGAAAGACCTAGGACGAGAATTGGTGATCAAAGTAAAAAAGAGTATACACATTTTATTGCTCTTGTATGCTCACGGGTGATAACAAACGGCCAATTTCTCGGTTTGGTGTGGGTGGTATGCCGGGCTTTTGGACTTTATATGCATATACTCCTGTAGGGAATTGTATTACAACAACATTGATACCAAAATGAAAGACCTAGGACGAGAATTGAGGTGACAAAATTGAAAAAGAGTACACACTTTTCAGTATTACCTCGCGCTCAAGTGGAATGCCCGGTCCCATATTGGGGTGGTCTGGTGCTCGCTCGCCCAAAGCATGAAAGTGTTAAAGATCCTGTTTACAACCTTAATGAAACCAAAATTAGAATATGCAGCAGTTGCATGGTGCCCATATCTCGAGAAACACATCAATAACTGGAAAAGGTGCAAAGAAATTCTACAAAATGGCTTCTGGAACTGAAAAACAAGAGCTATGAGGAGAGGCTAGCGGCATTAAATGTCAAAACTAGAAGAGGAAAAAAAAGTTGATATGATCACTACATACAAAATAGTAACAGGAATTGATGAAATTGACAGAGGAATTCTTGAAACCAGCAGCCTCAAGAACAAGTCATAGATTCAAGTTAAGGAAACAAAAGGTGCCAAAAAATAGAAAGTTCTCTTTTGCAAACAGTGTTAGAGGTTTGGAACAAGTGAGGTGATTGACAAAACCATTAATAGTTTCAGAGTATTAAATAACAAAGAGTACTCGGAAGATGGGACACCACGAGTGTAGCTCTCATCCTGAAACCACACTTACGTAATTACAAGACTATTCACCAACAGATTTTAAAACCTACCCATCTTTACCCTATATAACCTAGCACTGCCAAACATTATTATATATATATATATATATATATATATATATTTTAGTAGGCATTCTTCAGTCACAGGAGTGTGTGGTGTTGCGCTCAGGAGTGGCCTCACTAGGGCGCACAGCCAGGGTAGGTTGATATGGAGGAGAAGCTGTTACCCAGGCAGCAGGTCTCCCCACTCCACGGTGCCGAAAGTCCCCAATGGAAAGAGCAAACGCCAACACGAGTGGTTCCAGCACCGTCGCAGGAACTGTGAGTTCCGAGGTTGACCCCGAAGTTGGTGAAAAAGGGCACAGGGACCTCCAAACCCGGAGACCGCCGTCGTCAGGGCCGGAGAAGAACCACCCCATCAAGGGCAAGAACGACCCCAGTCTCCTAAAGCAGAGCCTGGGCTGCACGAGCTCCAGGAGGTGGACATCCCAGTCCCGCACCTACAGGTTCCAGACAGAGACTGTCACAGCCCCCTTTCACCCGAGGCTGACTTCCTTCAAGACCAAGCAGAAGGAAGACTGATAATTATTAAATATATATATATATCTATATAATATATATATATATATATATATATATATATATATATATATATATATATATATATATATATATATATAATATCTATATATATATATATATATATATATATATATATATATATATATATATAATATATATAATATATATATCATATATATATATATATATTATATATATATACACATATACATATATGGCTTTAAAGATAATAAAAACATTCGTCAAGACACCCAAGTATGATTTGATAATACCCATATTTCAGTTAGTCAAATCATATGCAGGATTTTGACAAAGCTTGTTTTCTACTTGCAAAAATACTGTACATTGCTAGCCTTGGGTTTAGTTAGGCTTGGGTTAAGCTTCGGCTATGCTTTGGGTAAGCAGGTTTAAATATCCATTAGCGAAGTCTTGGGTACGAAGTGACTTTTTATCAGGCTCAAACACACTACACGTATTTATTTATATACAAGAAGGTACAGTAGGTTTGTGAGACCACATAACATTGGTGTTCTTACATTCTTGCAAAGCCACTAACACACATAGCATTTCGGGCAGTACATATACATTACATATAGGATTATTTTTGACAAGTAAGCAACTGCAGTGAGTGCCTCACAGCAGTGCCAGAGACCCTCACAGCAGTGCCAGAGACCCTCACAGCAGTGCCAGAGACCCTCACAGCAGTGCCAGAGACCCTCATAGCAGTGCCAGAGGCCCCTTACAGCAGTGCCAGAGGCCCCTCACAGCAGTGCCAGAGGCCCCTCACAGCAGTGCCAGAGACCCTCACAGCAGTGCCAGAGACCCTCACAGCAGTGCCAGAGACCCTCACAGCAGTGCCAGAGACCGTCATAGCAGTGCCAGACCCTCACAGCAGTGCCAGAGACCCTCATAGCAGTACCAGACCCTCACAGCAGTGCCAGAGACCCTCATAGCAGTACCAGACCCTCACAGCAGTGCCAGAGACCCTCATAGCAGTGCCAGAGACCCTCATAGCAGTGCCAGACCCTCACAGCAGTGCCAGAGACCCTCATAGCAGTGCCAGACCCTCACAGCAGTGCCAGAGGCCCTCACAAACCTTAGTTAAGTCCACATTGGGAGCGACCACAGACGCTCTCTCCATGACGTGGGACTCAAGACGAGGACTCTGGAGGGCGTCTTCCTCCGCCCCTGTGTTTGTTTACACCTCTCACCTCGGGTTCAAATGAGCACTCATACTCTTGTACCCTTCATTATATAAAAATAAAAGCATTTGGAAGATTGGAGATCTATACAAAAAAACATATATAAATTGGTATAAGATTGGATATACTTCTCTACTTTTTATAAAAGGGGCATGACGAAAGGAGTATTTAGTTAACTAATTTAGTTAACTAAATTAGTTAATTTAGTTAACTAAGTTAAAAATAACCATCATGAAGCAGTTTTGGTGTTGTGATTAAGGTCTATTAACCGTACTAGGGTTTTACCTGATTTACATCTGTTATTAAGCACACCACAATAGCTTCCTGGACCAATCAACAAACATACCTTTGTCCTGAACATAGTCTGCAGGCTTTTCAATACAGAGTCCTGTGGCGCAGTGGGCTAAGTCATTGACTCGCAACCAAGAATTGTGTCTATTTATCCACCAAGGATTTATCGACCTCGATAAAAGCCTAACGTGTATGAATACACTCTGGCTTCCTGTCCCCCCGACACAGTGAATTATGAATTATAATCTTGAGCAAGTAAATATCATTCATAAAAGTGTAATTAGACGTGAATTCTTAAATAATTTTCAAGAACGTAGAATCATGCATTCTTCAGTATGCAACCCCCACAACAGCTGCCTAATTCCCTGATATACCTATTCACTCTAAGGTGAACAAAGCCATTAGGTGCAGGGAAATGTGCCCTTTCATTTCTATCCTACGGGGAATCGAACCCAGGACCCACGAAGTATAACGTTTGCGAACAAAGGCAGAGAACACTACTAATATTACTACATCTGTGTGAGCATTGAGCCATCTATATACATCTATAAATGAGAATATCAGCCTCTTTGTCCCAGGTTGAAGACCAGACGGTCGCCGCTAGCCTCACGAAACTCGCCGTGGTAAATTATAATTGTACCGAGAGTGTCATAGGTGGTCTGGTGGGATCCCATGCCCCTCCTTAAGTAGGATTGTCTCCTCTTGAGACAACCCAAACTCCTGTGAAGTCAGAAGTGTGGGTTTAATTGTCCGTGGAGTGTTTAAAACAGGTTTTTCAGCTTTGATAGTCGTTGAACCATTAGCAATAACGTTGATTCAGTGTTACTTGAGCATGTTTTGTCCACTGGGAAACAGAATGAGGAGGTAGGGAGAGAGAACGGGAGGGAGGGAAGTAGAGAGAACAGGAGGGAGGAATAAAGATAGAGAAAATGTGATGGAGAGAGAGAACGGGAGGAAGGGAAGAAGGGAAACAGAATGGCAAGGAGGAATACGGACATAGAAAATCGGATGGAGAGAGACAAAGAGAACAGGACGGAGAGAGAATGAGAGGGAGAGATAAAGAGTGGGAGAGAACGTGAGACAGAGACCCGAGCACCGCCGAGTCTACCACCACACACGCCTAAGTGAACATGGTGACAAGACAGGGTGAGAGACACCCTGTGACAGACAGGTGCAGGAGCGGCCCAGGCTTGTGGCGTCACCCTCTGACCTAACCTGTCTAGCCGTCTTCCAGCAGTGACGGAGAGAGAGACAGAGAGAGAGAGAGAGAGAGAGAGAGAGAGAGAGAGAGAGAGAGAGAGAGAGAGAGAGAGAGAGAGAGAGAGAGAGAGAGAGAGAGAGAGAGAGAGAGAGAGAGAGAGAGAGAGAGAGAGAGAGAGAGAGAGAGAGAGAGAGAGAGAGAGAGAGAGAGAGAGAGAGAGAGAGAGAGAGAGAGAGAGAGAGAGAGAGAGAGAGAGAGAGAGAGAGAGAGAGAGAGAGAGAGAGAGAGAGAGAGAGAGAGAGAGAAAACAAGACTGTCTCTGTCAGACAGGCAAACTTATATATAAACAACTGAGACAAGTATAGGAAAGATTGGCATAATCTTATAGTCTTCAGTGATCAGGCTGACATCTTGGGAATGAAGTTATGACTCTTCAGTAACCACGAAGAAACCTTGAACAAGCAAGGCAGCCGTTGCAGCACTCACGGCGCCTCTCATACCGTCTCGTCAGCAGTGGATGCAAAACCTTTTTTGATACCCACGTTCGCTCCCATTAGGAACACGTGCATGAAGTTGGCAACCATAGCACAAGCCATCAACCACAACAACAACAACCACCACTACTCTAACTACCACCACAGCTACTGAAACAACTACCAACTACCACCACATGCACTAACAACAATCCCTACCACCAACTACCACTGAAGCTTATGATCCATATACACACTAACAACACTAACACACCCAACACTACTATATCACCCGCATGTTATATATCTACTTTGCAACTACGATAGACTTCAATAGATATATATCTATCGCCTTGGCTACGAGGGATATGAACACCGCAGTACACAAAGCTGTCACGGAGTAGACACGACCTAAACAAATAGCTCATAATGCTTAAGCTTTAATCTGCAGTTTCTCTACGCTTGACCCAAGCTCATTATGCCATAACAAGTGCAGGCAAGACGAAGGTGGCTATTCCGTTGGTCAAGGGAGTCAATAGCACCTCATGCACCTGTTCACCTAGCAGTAAACTAGCACCAGATAGCTGGACAACTCAGGCCACGATCTGAGAATCGTGAATGGTTGTCTAGGCCCATCTGAGCATCGTGGTGGCTTGTTTAGGTCCCCTCAGACCACTGTAGTGGCTTGTTTAGGTCTCCTAGACCACTGTGGTGGCTCGCTTAGGTCCTCAGGCCACTGTGGGAGCTTGTTTAGGTCCCCTCAGACCACTGTAGTGGCTTGTTTAGGTCTCCTAGACCACTGTGGTGGCTCGTTTAGGTCCTCAGACCACTGTGGGAGCTTGTTTAGGTCCCCTCAGACCACTGTAGTGGCTTGTTTAGGTCTCCTAGACCACTGTAGTGGCTTGTTTAGGTCTCCTAGACCACTGTGGTGGCTCGTTTAGGTCCTCAGACCACTGTGGGAGCTTGTTTAGGTCCCCCAGACCACTGTGGGAGCTTGTTTAGGTCCCTCAGACCACTGTGGGAGCTTGTTTAGGTCCCACAGACCACTGTGGTGGCTCGTTTAGGTCCTCAGACCACTGTGGGAGCTTGTTTAGGTCCCCCAGACCACTGTGGGAGCTTGTTTAGGTCCCTCAGACCACTGTGGGAGCTTGTTTAGGTCCCACAGACCACTGTGGTGGCTTGTTTAGGTCCCCCAGACCACTGTGGGAGCTTGTTTAGGTCTCCCAGACCACTGTAGGAGCTTGTTTAGGTCCCCCAGACCACCGTGGGAGCTTGTTTAGGTCCGCCAGACCACTGTGGGAGCTTGTTTAGGTCCCTCAGACCACTGTGGTGGCTTGTTTAGGGCCCCCAGACCACTATGGGAGCTTGTTTAGGTCTCCAGACCACTGTGGTGGCTTGTTTAGGTTTCCCAGACCACTGTGGTGGCTTGTTTAGGTCCCCCAGACCACTGTGGTGGCTTGTTTAGGTCCCCCAGACCACTGTGTGAGCTTGTTTAGGTCCCCCAGACCACTGTGGGAGCTTGTTTAGGTCCCCCAGACCACTGTGGTGGCTTGTTTAGGTCCCCCAGACTACTGTGGTGGCTTGTTTAGGTCCCTCAGACCACTGTGAGAGCTTGTTTAGGTCCCTCAGATCACTGTGGGAGCTTGTTTAGGTCCCTCAGACCACTGTGGTGGCTTGTTTAGGTCCCTGAGACTACTGTGGGAGCTTGTTTAGGTCCCTCAGACCACTGTTTGAGCTTGTTTAGGTCCCTCAGACCACTGTGGGAGCTTGTTTAGGTCCCTCAGACCACTGTGGGAGCTTGTTTAGGTCCCTCAGACTACTGTGGGAGCTTGTTTAGGTCCCTCAGACCACTGTGGTGGCTTGTTTAGGTCCCCCAGACCACTGTAGTGGCTTGTTTAGGTCCCTCAGACCACTGTAGTGGCTTGTTTAGGTCCCCCAGACCACTGTGGGAGCTTGTTTAGGTCCCCCAGATCACTGTGGGAGCTTGTTTAGGTCCCTCAGACCACTGTGGTAGCTTGTTTAGGTCCCCCAGACCACTGTGGGAGCTTGTTTAGGTCCCTCAGACCACCGTGGAAGCTTGTTTAGGTCCCTCAGACCACTGTGGTAGCTTGTTTAGGTCCCTCAGACCACTGTGGTAGCTTGTTTAGGTCCCTCAGACCACTGTGGTGGCTTGTTTAGGTCCCTCAGACCACTGTGGTGGCTTGTTTAGGTCCCTCAGACCACTGTGGTAGCTTGTTTAGGTCCCTCAGACCACTGTGGGAGCTTGTTTAGGTCCATCAGACCACTGTAGTGGCTTGTTTAGGTCCCCTAGACCACTGTGGTGGCTTGTTTAGGTCCCTCAGACCACTGTGATAGCTTGTTTAGGTCCCTCAGACCACTGTGGGAGCTTGTTTAGGTCCCCAGACCACTGTGGTGGTTTGTTTAGGTCCTCAGACCACTGTGGTGGCTTGTTTAGGTTCTCCAGACCACTGTGGGAGCTTGTTTATGTCCACCAGACCACTGTGGGAGCTTGTTTAAGTCCCCCAGACCACTGTGGGAGCTTGTTTAGGTCCCCCAGACCACTGTGGGAGCTTGTTTAAGTCTTTCAGACCACTGTGGTGGCTTGTTTAGGTCCCTCAGACCACTGTGGGAGCTTGTTTAGGTCCCCCAGACCACTGTGGTGGCTTGTTTAGGTTCTCAGACCACTGTGGGAGCTTGTTTAGGTCCCTCAGACCACTGTGGTAGCTTGTTTAGGTCCCCCAGACCACTGTGGGAGCTTGTTTAGGTCCCTCAGACCACCGTGGAAGCTTGTTTAGGTCCCTCAGACCACTGTGGGAGCTTGTTTAGGTCCCTCAGACCACTGTGGGAGCTTGTTTAGGTCCCTCAGACCACTGTGGGAGCTTGTTTAGGTCTTTCAGACCACTGTGGGAGCTTGTTTAGGTCCCTCAGACCACTGTGGGAGCTTGTTTAGGTCTCTCAGACCACTTTGGGAGCTTGTCTAGGTCCTCTTACTACTGAGTCAGCTTGTCTAGGTCCTGCTGACTACTGACTCAGCTAGTCTAACTAGCTCTGACTCCTGTGTTAGGTCATGTAGGCCCATTAGAAGATCCTCAACATACTATTCTCATACAGCTGTAGGTCTAATCTTTATACTGTATTTGCCATTCATACAGGAGGAATGAAAATGAAATTCATTGCTATACCACATTTAATACACAAGGTGCATTGTTTATTTTGGTCGAGGGTGCCGCAGCTACAGAGATATCAAGAAGAACATGTGGAGAATACCGCCGATAGATGGCGCGCCTGCTGGTCCAAAAGGGGGTTGGATCTCTCTGTATGGTGTTCGAACGGTTTTCAAGAACCTCTTAACCAGCTGACACGTCGATCTTCTTTTGAGATGCTGATAAGGGATTCATATATGGACTTAGGTTTGGGGGGGGGGAGTCACCGAGTCTTGTTTAAGGTGCTGAAAAAAGGATTTCATCAAAGAGGTTCAGGATTGGTGTTGTGACCTGATTGGTTAAGGGGAAAGTCAGGAAATGGAAATGATTGGGTTAGTTGATGGATTGGAGGTGATTAGGTTAGTAGGTAAGGCAGGAGGTTTGAAGAAGATGTAAGATGTTTGAAGACGTTCCAGCGAGCAATGAGGATGAATCCTCATGGATTGTGAGAGAAGAGTCCTCATGAGAGGTGTGAGGGGAAAAGAGGTATGAGGAGTGAGGGGGGGAAGGTAGAGACGCCGGCGAGGATGAGGTGTGTGTGTGTGTGTGTGTGTGTGTGTGTGTGTGTGTGTGTGTGTGTGTGTATGTGTGTGTGTGTGTGTGTGTGTGAGGGGGGTGGGGGGCGAGGTCGTTGTATTCACCTCCTGCGGGCGAGGGTCTCCAGAAGCCTTTCACTCGCCTCCATCTGCAGGCAGAAGACACACACAGCTTGTAAAACACCCGTGTACGTACGTCTTGCGTGTGCGTGTGGGTCTTGTGTATACGGGGGGGGTCTCTCATGTACGTTTGTCTCGTGTATGTGTGTGTGTGTGTCATGAACGTATTCCTTGTGCACATGGTCTCTGTACACATCACACTCTCTAGGACCAAACAGTTAATAAAATATGTGGTACAATGAAGGAACTACTATCACAAGGATACGATCAACCCATCCTCTTAAAAATAACGTCGCTTTTCGCTAGTATGCGCGCTATGGCCAAAAATTATAAATGAAATCGGCTCACGAAAGTGATGTACTGTTTCAAACCCGTATGTTCTGAATCTAATAGGCTGCTGTGAAGCGACATTCACCCGGGGGTGAAATGTTCCCAACTTGAATGTTTCCTCGGCTGTAAATATTCTCCCATCATCTAATTCCTCTGTTATATCTATTGACTTAAACCCCATCTCTTCCCCTTTAGCCACTCAACGTTTCAAAGATCTCGGTGTGGTGTAGGCCTCATAAGGCCTATTAACCTCTGGAGGGTTAATAAGGCCACTACGATAGCCTATTGACCAATTCGCCAGTGTAATTCAGTAACGAACATAAATAATCAAGGATTGAAGAGGTCTCTCAGTATTTATATATATCTCTTAGGATATACACCCCGAGGAGATGGGGCACGTCTCAGGGCATATACCCACCGTCCAACTAAGAACTCTAATCCTTTGTTTACAATGCATTATCACCTGCACCAAATGTGTATAAAATCCTGTATATTTTGTATAAACCTGTATAAAATCGTGTATAAAATCCTGTATATGTTGTATAAACCTGTATAAAATCGTGTATAAAATTCTGTATATATTGTATAAACCTGTATAAAATCGTGTATAAAATCCTGTATATATTGTAAAAATCTGTATAAAATCCTGTATATGTTGTATAAACCTCTATAAAATCCTGTATATATTGTATAAACGTGTATAAAATCCTGTATATGTTGTATAAACCTGCTAAGTCAGCAGAAACACTGCCTATTTAAATTTAGTCACTTTTAAGTGATAATTGCTCCTGTAAATGAATTTACAGTTTATTATTTTCTTTTACAGTTTTGAATGCGTTGTTACATCAATTTTCTTTCCTAATTTTTTTATTAGTTGTTCCTAGCCATTATTATCTATATTAATATAGATATAATAGTTAAGAAGAACCATTATATTTATATTAATATAATACAACTATTTTGATTGTAAGATTTGCCTAATACAAGCTTGAAGACCAGTGATTTATATATATACAAATGCTTAGTTAAAACATAAAGAAAACGAGATTAAATATAATTTTTTTTAAAAAGGGGAAACTGAACAAAAATCAAAACTCAGCCCCACCCAAACTATGCCTATAGCCTAGTGTAATTAACTCATAACCTAAAATTGTGGCCTATAGATTTAGGCCTCACCAGTAGTTCTGCCATCTGTTAATGGGGTGCTGCCATCTGTTGGTATGAAAGGTAAATATATATAAATATATATTTTTATATATTTATAATATATTTATAATATTTTATTTTATATTTATATATTTATAATATAAATATATATTTTACCAGGTCATTCTAACTCTTTGTTCAGGCGTTTATAACTGAATGTTTTTTTAAGAGATTTGTTTGAACTTTTGTTACATAGTAAAATATTGAACTTTATTACAGAAAAAGTTACTGAAACTAGAAAATATAGCAAAATATTGAACCTTATTACAGAACAAGTTATTGAACCTAAAACTCATAACAAAATATTGAACCTAGAACTCATAACAAAATATTGAACCTAGATTATATAACAAAATATTAAACCTTTTGTACAAAACAATTGTTTGAGCTTTGATAATATATATACAAGAAAATCTTGAATCTTGGTTAAAGGGCAAGATACTAAACCTTGATTAAAGAGTAATATATTGAACCTTAGCTAGATAACAAGACTGAACCTTGGCCACATAAGAAGATATTAAAGAACAAACAGATATCTTGATATATAAAAAAAGATGCGACTGATTAACTTAATGTTTAGGTTACAAAGCGAAATATTAATGTTTATCTGATGTTAATTTTAGAAGATAAATATGAAAAACTAAACTTGAACTTTATTAGCAAATATATTGAAATTATTATTCAAAACTTGGAGATATTGAATGATATTGAACTTTATTTTTTATTATGAAATTAGAAAAATAACTTCAAGTTTTTGTTGAAACATAAACAGAGATGAACTTACCTTCATTTGTTTGTTTAAATGTTGTTTCCTATTCTCAGTGAAAAGGAAGCTATTAGGCTCATCGAAACCTCCCAATAGGCCTATATTGAAACTACCCTGAGACTTATCATTGCTGCCAATTAGTTATACCAATCACGCGAATAGCTACCATAAAGAGCCCCCCCATATACTACCATAAACCTATAGACACTACAGGTATCTTTAAGGCCATCACAGCTATGGTAGCCACTACCATAGCTCACCATAACCTTAATATAAAAAACATCTCAAATACACAATAGTTACCATAGACTATTGCCATAGACTAACTACCATAACTGTCTATCGTGACTAGCAATAACTACCTACTGTGAACTACCACAACTGTCTATCGTGACTCAACCTAACTACCTACTGTGAACTACCATAACTGTCTATCGACCTACTGTGAACTACCACAACTGTCTATCGTGACTCACCTTAACTATCTACTGTGAACTACCACAACTGTCTATCGTGACTCACCCTAGCTATCTACTGTGAACTACCACAACTGTCTATCGTGACTCACCCTAACTACCTACTGTGAACTACCACAACTGT